GTCTCAGCTTCATTGTGGAGGTTGACTTCAGGTATAGAAGAAATAACTACGCTTTTGTAATAATGAAATTTAATAAAAAAAATAACAATAGATATGAAAACAACCGCTCCATCTGAGCGTTTTGGCTGAAGTGTTACAAAAGTGGGGTGACGCTGCTGCAGAGGAGGTTGGATTCCCACATTGACCATCCGACAAGAAGCACCTGCCCTCAGGTGGGCATATAAAAGAAATACTTACATAATAACTAAATATCATTCCACATTCAAAAATACTTAACATCATCTGAAAAAGATTTCGAAAGACATATTAATAATCAAAATATTAAAATAATATTCAAGATAAAAAAAAAATCTCTGGGAAAAATTAAAATGTTCTAAAGAGTTCTGAAGAAAATGTCATTTTAAGTAATATCATCAGACCAATGTTTGATGTATTCTGCACATGTACTGGTCTTCGAAGGTCCATCAAAAAAAGCACATTTTTCGACATCAAAAGTATCATTAGGTTTAATTTTTGTTATCGTATAAGGTCCTATGCATTCAGGTTTCAGTTTCAATCCTGGTCTAAATTGTGTGCGTTTTATTGCCACTAGATCGTTAATTTTGAAAGATGCAGATGGTTTTCGCCGAAGATTGTAAGTTCGTTTGTTTTCTTCTTGGACTTTCTGTATTTGTAGTTTGGCTTGTTTCCGTAACTCGTCACGGCTGTTAACGAAGATGGCTTGAATTTCCTCATTCAGCATATTTGTAATTTTCAGATCTTGTTTTGTTTTAATAGCAGTACCAAATAACAGTTGAAGAGGAGTAGTGTTAATGCTTCGTTGAAAAGTAGAATTAATGACTTTCTGAACGTCTTTTACATTAGTGTACCATTTGTTAGGATCTTCTATTGATAATTTGGAGATTATAGAAATTATGGTAGAATTTAAATTTTCTATTTGTCCATTTGCTCTCGGTAAACCAGTAGTTATAGGAAAGTGTTCAATTTGTTCAGCACTGCAATATTCAAGGAACTGTTTGGAGGTAAATGCAGATCCACGATCAGAAATAATTCGTGATGGATTGCCAAAAACATATTTTTGAGAGTCTAATTTAGAAATAACTTCAGTAGCATCTGTAGATTTAGTTGGGTATAACCAGCAAAACTTAAAAAGAAAAAAGCGTCTATAACTCTAGATATGTATTTATAATTCTTGTTTGTGGTAGGCAATGGTCCTAAATGATCAATATGATAAGTGTGCAAAGGAATGGATTCTTTTTCGGTCGGATGTAACAGTCCTTCTTGTTTTCCACACTTTCGATTTATTAAAATGCAAGGAACACAGTTTTTAATAAAACGGTCTATGTTTTCTTTCCCTTTAGGGATATGGAATTGATGTTTCAATGATTCTTCAGTACGTTTAGAGGCATAATGTCCGCAATCATGAGCATATCGTATAATATCATTTTGCATACTTTCAGGAACGACAAGAAAGTTCTTCGACATCAACAAATTTGTATAGTATGCCAGATTTAAGAAAAAAGTCTTCATAGGGTTTAGTTTTCAAAAGCTCTTTAACCATTTTGATTTCAATATCTTCTTCTTGGGCTTTTCTAATTTTCGTAATGAGACTATCCTGTACTATCATAATGGGATATCTACTTAGCGCGTCAACGTGATACATTTTAGAACCAGAACAATGTTCAATGATATAATCGAAATCCTGTAGCAGTAATGTCCAGCGCGCTATGCGAGTACACAAATCCTTTTTATTTAATGTCATCGCAAACGAATTACAATCGGTCACAATTTTAAAATGTTTCCCTAGCAAGTAAACTCTAAATTTTTTTAAAGCCTGCACATTAGATAACACTTCGAGCTCGTAACTGCTGTATTTCGCTTCGGCATCAGACGTTTTTTTACTCATAAATAAAATAAACTGGGTGAAGCGTATTATTTTCTAACGATTTTTGCATTAAAATACATCCATAACCATGAATACTAGCGTCGCAATGTATTTCAGTATCCGCGTTTTGATTGTAAATGCTAAGAATGGGTGGAGAAGACAAATTATGTTTTAAACTACTAAATGCTTGTATTTCATTCTCGGTAAATTTATATTCGCGATTTTTCTTCAAACGTTCAGTTAAAGGGTGCGCAATAATATGGAGAAATTTAATATGAATTTTCGAAAATAGCTAGCTAAACCAAGAAATGATTGTAAATCCTTTCTATTTTTGGGTTCCGGAAAATTAAGAACAGCTTTAATTTTTTGTGGTGACGGGTACATTTTACCATTTTCAATTACATGTCCGAGAAATTCTATTGTTCTATTTAAAAATGTACATTTTGAAAAATTTATCTCTAACCCATAAGCAGAAGCGAGTGAAAATACCGATGCAAGATTCTCGAGACCTTCCTCTTCATTTTTCGATGGTATAGTCATATCATCCATAAAAATAATAATTTTACCTTTAATTATCAAATCCTTAAAAATAGTGTTAATATAACGCTGAAAAGCTGCGGGTGATTTGCAAAGGCCAAATGGTGCGCGTAAAAATTGAAATTGACCATTATGAGTGACGAAAGACGTATATTTACGACTGTTC